ATATAGAATATTTAACAAATTCTATCTTATAGGAAGTTGGTGGAATGATGACATTAACAGATGTTTATTGTCGTGTAAACAGAGCTAGAGGCTTGGAACTTCTGTCACCGGAAGACCTATTAAATGCTAGTAGACAATTAGCACCTTTAGGTTTACCTATAGTATTGAGAACTTTTGATAGTGGAGTTATAGTTCTTCAATTACGATCCCATAATGATAATGCTATAGTTGATGTCATAGCAGACTTGGTAAGTATTATATTATACATTTTTTTACAAAAAATATAATTTCATTACTCTGTTATAGATCAAAGAAAGAGGATCACTAACTGCAGAAGAACTTGCACAATCAGAAGGTATATCTGTACTTTTAGCTCGTGAAAGGTTATTAGTTACAGAAAAATATGGAAGAGCATGTAGAGATGATACAATTGAAGCTTTAAGATTCTATCCTAATTTATTTTTGGAACAAGATGACTAACAACAGTGTTTTCATTACTATATAAGCATAAAAACATGTTCACTTTTAAGCAGGTGTACTTTGTCCAAGATACAGGATTCATTATAAGAAGTTCATATATTTTTTGTGCCTTTATATTTTACATGTGTAAAAACGTGAAAACTAAATATTTTGAAAAATATAAATAGTACATTAATTTACAGATACAAAATATGTATAATTTTGAAATCAATATTTATTGTAATTGTCTTACAATCATCTTTCATGTTAGAATAGATTTATAATAAATAAAAAGAAAAACAAAAAACCTTTTGAAGTTCACTAAAGAATGCTTTTGTTCTAATATCAAATTAACAAGATGTATTAAATATTCTACAAAAATGTCTATGTATGAGTAATTATGTGTAAACATTTGTAAATAAACAATGTTAAAAATGTTCTTTATCCAATGCATTAAAAAATCAAGTAGAACATTTACAAAAAGTAGTTGTACTGTCATAATTACCAAGTAAAATGAGAGTTTTCTTATTCTATGACAAGAGTGTTTAAATCGGTTCCGGCGGGCATTCTAGTAACATTCTCCTCGCGAAGAAGAAGTTACCTTCTCCATACCCACAGTTACCCATTATATCGAACATTGCATAAAACTACACATAACAACCTCGAGCAGCTCCTTGAGAAGAAGTAGTAGGGGTGGGATGTTTGCAAGTTACTAGTGTGAGGGGAGTCACGTAGGCACCTCTATTCTAATATTATTTAATGATTTGTATATAAAACAGGTACTTAAAAAAAGTGCCGATATTAAAAAGGGAAAGTACTAATACTAAAATTAAGTATTTCGTTCAATAAGAGATTTGTTGCTAAGAAATTGATAGTACTTATTTTGTAACAAAAACCAAAATCCCTAACATAACATTGAATACATCAACTTATAGTGACATACACTATCACTTTACGAAGATTGGTACTAATATACTACATCATAAAAAGGTGACAACGCCGGAGTAAATTCTATAGATTATCAAAAATGCTGTTTGTTTAATAATTTTATTGTTTATGTGACCAGAAAATGAAGCAAAGCTGAAAAAGCTATAGAAATTTAGCTCTAGATTAATACTAGAATGAAAGTAATATCTTGTACTGTGAAATGAGAACGAGTATCCTGCAGTAACGGTCGTGTACACACTATCATGGTTTAGAGAATCTCGTGAATATTTGATGCTGAATAATTTTTAATCCTAAACGACATAAGATCATTAATATTCGTGTATTATTAAGTTTATTCGTTAAATCTTAAAGAGAATAAAACTATTTTACACGTGCATACAAAATGGCCTTGCCACCAAACTATAAACAAGTAGCAATGGCTACATCAAATATTGTGGCATCAAACCGTAAGTATTATTAATTTATTTCTATAATATTACTTAATACACTTTTCAAAAGTATTTATATTTAAAAAACATTTCTATCATAGAACGTCTTAGAGCTTCTGGTGGGAGTAGCAATAGCTCAACAAATAGCGTAAGTAAATATTTAATCTAAACTAAATGAATGCCCTGATACTGATGAACTGTTTCTTATGATAATTTATAGAAAGATACGCAAAGCCCATTTATACAAACACCTCATAGTCATCCAGGATTTACACCACAAAAGGTTGGAAAAAATACAAATGTATGTATTCTTCTGTATGAATTGAAGTTTAAATTCAATTTTACAATTATATTCTTAAATGTTGAGGCTATAATCATAAGATTATAAAATTCACTTATTTACTTATTGACTGATTAGGCTGATTCCCGTATGCCTAAGCCACCTAAACCACCAGAGAAACCTCTTATGCCTTACATGAGGTACAGCAGAAAAGTATGGGACCAAGTAAAAGCTCAAAATCCAGAATTAAAATTATGGGAAATAGGGAAGATCATTGGTCAAATGTGGAGAGATTTACCAGAAGAAGACAAAACAGAATTTATTGAAATGTATGAAGCAGAAAAGGTATAAGAAATATTGATAGGTTTATAGTACATTATATACACAGTAGATATTAATGTTTTCCATATTTCAAATAGGTTGAATATGAGAAAAGTTTAAAAACTTATCACAATTCACCTGCGTATTTAGCTTACATTGCTGCTAAAAATAGAGGAAAATCTGGTAAATATTCCATATTAATAAAATTAAATAATTTTGTGTACACCTTAATAATATTTTATGTTTCTGAATGATAGTTATGTGTGCTGCGCAACAAAGTAATGACGATCGAGAAAGCCATGAACGTTCATCAGGTAGTACTAAAGGTCAAGCAGCTCAAGACAGAAGAATAGACATTTTACCTGCAGAAGATGACGATGGTATGTAAATATATATGTACAGTGAACACTGGATAATTGTAACATCGGGGACCTCTTCATAATTGCATCATCATCCCCATTACATCCACAGCAGATTCTTTTTAACACACCATAGCGCTCAATAATCGACCGCGATTGAAGGGTGTAACATGACCTGACTATTGTCGAACTCGACGATTTCAATATCTCTTTCTTTTCTATTCACAGTCCTTTTCTATATCCCTTCATTCGCGTTGCCTTTTTCTACATCCGTCATGCTAACATCTTCGTTTCTTGAGGTTGATTCGATTCTACCTCTTCATAATTGCAATCTTCCCGTCCCGTTGAGTGCTGCAATTATCCAATGTTCACTGTATCATGTATATAGAATTATATATATATTGTTTCATTTTACAGACCAAGATGATGGATATTCTGTAAAACATGTTGCTTATTCCCGATACACACGAAATCATCGTCTCATTAATGAAATATTCAGTGATACTGTAGTTCCTGATGTTCGTTCTGTTGTTACTACACAACGAATGCAAGTATTGCGACGCCAAGTACAATCATTAACAATGCATCAGGTAATGTAAATTATCAAAATATATATCAAGCAATATAATATTGACAGTTAACATCTCAAGTTATTAAATGCTTATAGAAAAAACTGGAAGCAGAATTGCAACAAATAGAAGAAAAGTTTGAAGCGAAGAAACGTAAATTTATTGAAACAAGTGAAATATTTCAGGAAGAATTAAAAAAAGTGAGTCACTACTTTTTTAAAACTAAAATACATGTTTTAGTTTTTTTATATAACATTTCCTTTCAGCATTGTAAGCCTGCAGTAGATGAAGAAACATTCAATAAAATGGTGGAACGACAATACGAAGCACTTAGACGAGACAGATTGAAAGGAACAGAAGAAAATCGTTCAGACGGACCAGCGTCAAGTGAATCAACACCAAATTCAACACCTACTCCTACTCCTGCTCCTGTTAATGATGAAACTCCATCTGATGTAAGTAATTATGTTAGTGTCATTAAAACATTCATTCATCATCATTCATTATAGGTCCCTGAAAACGAAGCAATAGATAAAAAATCAAATGGAACTGAAAAAACTACAAATGAAATAAAGAAAGAAACGTCTCCTCCCTATACTGAAAACAAATCTGAACCTCCATCAGTTCAGGGAAATTTAAATCAACATATATCCAACTCTGGAATATACTGTGGGACT